GGAGAGTATGGAACTCTGTCTGGGGACAGGTGAGCAGTCCACAGAGAGTTTGTGGGTCAGGGTTAAAGGAATATAGCTATGGGAGACATTACTGTGGGCATCTGTTACAGACTGCCTGATCAAGGAGAACCTGCGGATGAAGCACTCCATAGACAGATAGGAAAAGCCTCATGCTCACAAGCCCTTGTACTCATGGGTGACTTCAACCACCCTGACATCTGTTGGAGGGACGGTACAGCCTGGCACAAGCAATCCAGGAGGTTCCTCTATTGTGTAGAAGACAACTTCCTTCTGCAAGTAATAGAGGAGCCAATGAGGAGAGGTGCCATGCTTGACCTCGTGCTCACCAACAGGGAAGGGCTCGTTGGAAATGTGACACTCCATGGCAGCCTTGGATGAAGCAATCACGAGATGCTCGAATTTGAGATCCTCAGGACAGTGAGAAGAGCGTGCAGCAAGCTCACTGAGCTGGACTTCAAAAGAGCAGACTTTGGCCTCTTCAGGAACCTGCTTAGGAAGGTTCCATGGGATACAGCCCTAGAGGGCAGAGGGGCCCAAGACTGTTGGTTGATATTCAAGGATCACCTGCTGCAAGCTCAGGAGTGTTGCATCCCAACCAGAAGGAAGGGCAGCAGGAGGGCCAGGAGACCTCCTTGGATGGATAAGGAGCTCCTGAGGAAAAAAGAGGCTTATAATAAGTGGAAGCAAGGACAGGTGTCATGGGAAGAGTACAGGGATGTTGTCCGAGAAGCTAGGGACCAGGTTAGGAAAGCTAAGGCTCAGTTAGAATTAAACTTAGCTACAGGTATTAAAGATAACAGGAAGGGACTCTACAGGTACATAGCAAATAAAAAACAGACTAGGGAGAATGTAGGCCCCCTCAGGAAGCTCTCGGGAGAACTAGATACACAGGATTTGGAGAAGGCTGAGGTTCTGAATGATTTCTTTGCTTCGGTCTTCACTGACAAAGGCTCTGACCAAACCACCCAAGTCTTGGAAGGCAGATGCAGGGACTGTGAGAATGAAGACCTTGGGCTCACTGGAGAGGAACTGGTTCGAGACCATCTTAAAAATCTGAATGTGCACAAGCCCATGGGTCCTGATGAGATCCATCCGTGGGTCCTGAAGGAGCTGGCAAATGAAGTTGCGAAGCCGCTGGCCACCATATTTGAAAAATCCTGGCAGTCAGGTGAAGTTCCCGACGACTGGAAAAAGGGAAATATAACCCCCATTTTCAAGAAGGGGAAAATGGATGACCCAAGGAATTACAGACCAGTCAGTCTCACCTCTGTGCCTGGCAAAATCTTGGAGCAGATTCTCCTGGAAGGCATGCTAAGGCACATGAAAAACAACAAGGTGCTTGGTGAGAGCCAGCATGGCTTCACTAAGGGGAAATCCTGCCTGACCAATCTGGTGGCCTTCTATGATGGGGCTACAGAACTGATGGACATCTACCTGGACTTGTGTAAAGCGTTCGACACTGTCCCACACGACATCCTTGTCTCTAAACTGGAGAGACATCGATTTGATGGATGGACCACTCAGTGGATAAAGAACTGGCTGGATGGCCGCACACGAATAGTTGTGGTCAATGGCTCAATGTGCAGCTGGAGACCAGTAATGAGTGGTGACCCTCAGGGATTGGTGTTGGGACCGGTCTTGTTTAACATCTTTGTTGCTGACATGGACAGTGGGATCGAGTGTGCCCTCGGCAAGTTTGCCGATGACACCAAGCTGTGTGGTTTGGTTGATACACTGGAGGGAAGGAATGCCATCCAGAGGGACCTTGACACGCTTGTGAGGTGGGCTGATGCCAACCTCATGAAGTTTAACCATGCCAAATGCAAGGTCCTACACCTGGGTCGGAGCAATCCCAGGCACAGCTACAGGTTGGGCAGAGAAGAGATTCAGAGCAGCCCTGCAGAGAAGGACTTGGGGGTGTTGGTTGATGAGAAAATGAACATGAGCTGGCTTCAGTGTACGCTTGCAGCCCAGAAAGCCAACTGTATCCTGGGCTACATCAAAAGGAGCGTGACCAGCAGGTCAAAGGAGGTGATCCTGCCCCTTTACTCTGCTCTCGTGAGACCTCACCTGGAGTATTGTGTGCAGTTCTGGTGTCCTCAACATAAAAAGGACATGGAACTGTTGGAACAAGTCCAAAGGAGGGCCATGAGGATGATCAGGGGACTGGAGCACCTCCCGTATGAAGACAGGCTGAGGAAGCTGGGGCTGTTCAGCCTGGAGAAGAGAAGGCTGCGTGGAGACCTCATAGCAGCCTTCCAGTATCTGAAGGGGGCCTATAGGGATGCTGGGGAGGGACTCTTCATTAGGGACTGTAGTGACAGGACAAGGGGTAATGGGTTAAAACTTAAACAGGGGAAGTTTAGATTGGATATAAGGAAGAAATTCTTTCCTGTTAGGGTGGTGAGGCACTGGAATGGGTTGCCCAGGGAGGTTGTGACTGCTCCATCCATGGCAGTGTTGAAGACCAGGTTGGACAGGGCCTTGGGTGATATGGTTTAGTGTGAGGTGTCCCTGCCCATGGCAGGGGGGGGTTGGAACGTGATGATCTTAAGGTCCTTTCCAACCATAACTATTCTATGATTCTATGATTCTAATTAAAAGACGCAGGCTTCTAGTTTAGAGAGGGAAATTAGAGGCATGAGTCCACCAGGTAGGCAAGAAAACAGTCAAGTGGAAACGTAACTTGGTATTTCTACTTGCTTATCTGGTGAAGCACCTTACATCTGGTCTTTCAGAAGATACTTATGCTGAACTCATCTTTCTGGAAAGGCATGAGATACCACTGAGCAACCTTTGGGTTAATTGAGTTTTTGCTGTGGAGTTATAATTTTATTTCCTGAGAAATTGCATGAGACTAATATAATGAGGAATTAGCTGTTACAAGCAAAAGATCTTACTGAAACAACAAACAACTGACATGCTCTCATAGTAAACTCTTTGGAATGGACTTTTCTGTTCAAATTCAGAGAGGCAGAAAGTACCATCATCTGTCTTAACATACTGTGCATGTTGCAAATACTTTGGGGGAATGGTGGTTGTCTGTGTGGAGCAGAGAACATACTTCATTTTGCCTGTTAAGACCTTTCACACTTTTGTGAGTACACACAGAGTCATGTTATTATTCTTGTATTTTCAATAAGCATATATGTCTTTCCACCCTTGAGAGATCAAAACTCAGGTGCCTTCAAAGCCCAGATACTGCAATCTACTTTTAAAAAGGAGTTTTATGTTAGAATTCTGGTTTGTCTCCTGATTTTTTTTTGAACTCTCCTTGCTTATCCCACTATATGTGTGTGTGTGACAGTGAGGGTGGCCAGCTCCACAGTTTTTGAAGTGACTGCAAGTAAAGCCTTTTCATGTTGCAGAAATTCTCACACCCACCTCTTCCCAGCAATTAATTCTGCCAGAATGTTCTCCCCACATAGATTTGTGTTCATCCTCCAATCTTATCACTGCTGATTCTGAGAGTTTTTCACCCTCTCTCTCCCAGAACAGTGGGTGCAGTTGTAACTTTTTCTTTCTTCCTCATCTGTTGCTCCTGCCCCAGCAATCACTTCAGGGGAAGGAAGAATGAAAGCCAAGGAACTTTTCTTCCTTCCAGCCAGCTGAGAGGAACAGGGGGGGAAGGAAGTACAGGCCTCATCCTTGTCTCAAACCTGGGGAATCTAGGAATTGCAAATGTATGGACAAGGTTTCCAAACTATATGTACTGTTGGTTTCTATGATTTGTTCCACTGGTGGTTAGGGTACCTCTTGTCCTGGGAAATCCCAAACATGCAGTGGCAGAGAAAGAAGGTAGCATTAGGCATTAAAGGAGCAGTTTCAGTCCATGTCATCCTAGTTACCAGCCTTCTCTTCCATCTGGCTAATGGCTAGCTCTCTGCTCTTCATCTCTCACTTAAAACCACTTATGGTAGCCCCAGTTTTTCACCTATTGTAGTATCATAGTACTTTCAAGTCCCTCTTGCTTCTGACATTACTCCAGTCACCAGGAGCCACACTTGGGACATTCAGGCCCAGTAGCATTTGTGCCACTTTGGTCTTTTCCTCTCCCTTAGGAGAAAGCTTAGGCAGGCCTGCATCTTCTAGGATGTGGAAAAACTACAGCAGAGAGCGGGTTGGAAAGGGCAGAGAGAGATTTGTCCTGCGGGGACAACATTCAGGGAGGCAGTGCACTGGGAGAGAACTGCCTCCATGCGCTTACGAAACTTTGGCTGGTACTCGCTGTGTATCATGGATGTGTAACTGTAGCAGGTTACATGTCCAGTCTGTTTCAAGTGCCTGCTTTGTTAGGAGGAAGGAAAGTTTCCTTGCTTCCTTCGGGACAAGGAAAGCCGTACGTTTTCCCGTTTTCCCAGCATGTTCTTCTGCTTCCCCAGTGGAATTCCTGGCTTTGACAGAAACTAAGGTATGATTCTTAAAAAGGAGATTCAGCCTCCGGGAGAGGTACCCAGCGAAACCCTCTGCCCGTGGGAGTAATTTCCGAGATTTTCACGCGTATCTCCCTCTGTGCGCCGGGAGGTGCTGCCACGCACCAGCGGGAAGGTGCGGCGCGCCCCGGGGCTGCCCTGCTGCGGCTGCTGTCCCCGCGGGGAGCGGGGCAGGCCCGGTTCCGAGGCAGCGGCACACGGGCGCTCGCCGCCTCACTGCCGCCGTCGGGAGAGGCACCTTCCGGGGATGGCGAGGTGTCCGGCGGCACGCAGGCGGTGACCGGGCAGTGGCAGGTGGCCGTGCCCCATGGGCACCTACCGGCGCCGCCCTTGAGCGGGAGGGCGCGGGAGGGGTCGCTTCCACGGTCGCCCTCGAAGGCGCCTCCTGCTCCTGCCGCTGCCGCCCTTGGGCACTTGCTTTGGGGCGCCCGCCCTCTTCGCTCCGCTCTGCTCCGCTCCCCTCCCCGGCGAGGAGGAGCGAGACTCCCGCCCCCACCTCTGGAAGAGCCGGGCAAGGCATGTGCGTGCGGGGTGGCGCCTTCCGGAGGCGCACCAAGCCCCGGGCTGGCTGCGCCGCGGCCGCGGCTGCCCGGCGCACCATGCCGCTGCCGCCGCCGCCGCCGCGGCCCCTCCTCTCCGCCTCCCGCGCGGGAGCGCGCTCCGCTCCACTCCCCGGTTGCCTCCTGCAGCAGCAGCGGCGGCGGCGGCGGCGGAGGAGCTGAGGGAGTTGCGCGGGCTCTGCCCGATGTGGCAAGAAGCGATGATGATGAGGAGGAGACGCCGCTACCTGCTGGAGCGGGCCGATCAGGCGGGCGGCGGCGGCTGCGGGGCGAGCGGCGAGCAGTCCCGCTCCCGGGACTGGCTCTACGAGTCTTACTACTGCATGAGCCAGCAGCACCCGCTCATCGTGTTCCTGCTCCTCATCGTGATGGGCGCCTGCCTGGCCTTGCTCGCCGTCTTCTTCGCCTCCGGGCTGGTAAGAGACGCCCTCCCGCTCTGGGACCCACGCCGCCCGGCATCCCCGCTGCCGCCGGCCGGTGGGATCTCCCCGCCCGGCTGGCATCCCCGCACTCGGCGCCCTCCGCCGAGCCCAGCCTAACCGAGTCTGGTCGTGTGGGGTGGGACGGGGCGTGCGGGAGCCGGTGCCGCTGCTCCTGCGGAGGAAAGTTGGTGTCGGGAGGAAGCGGGGTGGCGGCGGCCAACGACTGCGGAGCCCGGGGACCCCCCGCCCAAACTTTGCTGCCCGGTGTTCTGAGGCGAAGCTGGAACGGCGGCAGCGCGGCTGATGGAGCGAAAACTGAGTCAACAAACGCATCGAGTTTAATACACTTAATTCATTGGCTCCGCTCCCTTCCAACTGGCAGCTCGGCCGTATTGGCCTCTTCTGTGGCAGGGTTTAAATCGCCCCACAAAAATGCAGCCTGTACCAGTACCTGAAATAACATTTTTATGGCAAGCAAGCCATAAAAATAACAATTTTTATGGCAGTGTTCCCTCTTTCTTCCCCCCCTCATTATACCATTTTCTAGAATTTGACCCGTTTTCTTAAGAAAGCTTTTGGGTAGAGCAGCCTTCTTTTATAAAAAGGGAGGTGAAGTTGGAGCGGTTGGACACCTTTTCTGCATGTCCAGTGCGGGGTTTCCAGCCTTTGGGAGGAAAAATATGTCACAGCGGCAGATGACAGTCGGTATCAGTTTATCTCACACAGAAATCCGTGGCGTTTTGCCCTTGCGTTGAAAGCAAAGGAAAAGCTGCAGAGGGCAGTAAAATTCTTGCTCCTCACAGTTTTCCTGCTGTTAGCTATTAGAGGCAGGCTGTTTGCGTTACTGTGTGCTTCTGAGGTAAGGAATGGGGATTTGAGGAGTCTCAGACTTTTTATTGGTTTTATTTTTTTTTTCCTAGATAATGGTCTTCTGGAAAGCTTAATGTTTGTTTAACATTGAGAGTGAGGATTAGTTTAGTATAATCTAATGGTTTCTTTTCTAGAGGCACAGCTCATAACAGTGTTTCTCAAATCGACAGAATCCTGCTTTCTTGCTCACAACCAAACTTTTGTCTTAAAAACTGCAGGAACTGATTGAAAGGATCAGCTAAATTTAGAGTTAATTGGTGTTTTATTTGTTTTTGGTATTTGTATTAAATGTTTTCTGAGGTTTTTATTTAATTTGCCATTCTTGCTAAATACAGAGCAGTCGTAAAAGAGCTAATGTGAGGCCAGAAATGGCAACAACTCATAACTCAGTTGTTTAATGCCTAAATGCTACAGTTTTGAAGCTCTGTGTACAAAATACAGGTTTGACACCATATCTCATTCTGGTGTGGTGCTCGTCCATCATAGCTGAAGGGACCAACGATGGAAATGGAAGTCCGTCGAATGCTAAGGCTGAGGCACAGTTATGTGTGGAGGCATACGCAATACTCACCTACAGTCAACGCAATAGATCTTGGGCTTGACAGTATTTAGCACTACTTTTCATACCTTGGTACAATCTACAGCTTCTTTACAAGTTGCACGAGGTTATTTTCATGATTCTGTTTCTTGAGGTAAATCATTCACGATAACAATGGTGGCATAAACCTGGGTCCAGATCGAAGGACGGCCAAAAGTTATGGAAACAAAACTGTGAGCTGGCTGGATCTTGCCAGGCATTGCTACTTCAGAAAGGGGGAATTTTATAGTTCAGTCTGCATTTGGAATTCCAGACATACCGGAAGAGGAAAAAAATGCTTTTAAAACCTTTTTCCTGAGCCTTTATCTTCCTGTGGCTAACAACTGGAAGGGTGAGTGGAGAGAGAGGTGGGGTTCATCCTTAAAGTTTCCAGTCAAGGGATGAAAGTAACTTCAGGCGAAGAGAAAGCTTGCCTATATAGACTTCCAGCCACAGGATGTTGGACAAAATCCTTTGGAGCCCTGCCCAGAGTCTCACCTAAAAGCGTTTTATTCTAGTCTAGCTCTGGTTGCATTTGTGATTAAAATACTCCTGAAGGTTTAGATCTGTTTCTCCCACACCTGAATAAAGAATACCCTTTTCATATAGCTGTACAATCTTAGTAATTGTTTTTCATGCCTGATTATATAAAAGGTGTACACAGGAGAGTCTGAGCCACAAGGGTCAGTATTAGTATCCTTGTCTTTATTTTGTGTATCTAGTATGTATGCGATTGTTTTGATGGGAGATTTAATTTTGTAGAGGAGGTGTAAATGATTGGGATAGTTCTGTGTAGGTCTGTGCAGGTCTGTGCATTTGAAGTTAATCTTTCTCAACAGTTGTTTCCTTTAGATTTTGTACAAAGCAGTTAAGATTTTACTGAAAATTACCTAAGCCCGGTGTGGAAACAAAACTCCAAAATGACTCACCACAGCACTTGATTCGCATTTCTCACTTGTACTTCAAAGAAAAGCTTAGAATGTGGAATGTAGGATTGGACATTGTTAAGACAAGATGGATGTTCATGAAGCATGAACCATTTTTATGTTCTAGGCTTTCTTAAAAAAACCCAACCCTGAAACCAATGGAAGTGAGAGGCTTTCCTTCTATTTTAATTTTTTATTTGGTTGTTAGAATATATCGCTGTGATGGCTGAGCTGCCTTTTTTTTTTCTATTTTTATTTTTATTGGCAATGTATTTTTAAATGTTCCCAGACATAGCCAACAACACAGGGGTGTATTCCACTTACTCAGCTATTTCAACCTGTCAGAGTTATGAGCTGTAGCTTTCCTGATTTCAGATGAAAAATTTATAAAAGCTGTGGCAAAATTAGAGTAAACAAGATTACTTACAGAGTGTGCCTGGAAGTCTGATTACTATTCTTTCAGGCAATGGGCTGTGATTGTTACTGAGAGCAGTTTCTTGAGAGATTTTGCTTTTGTTTGTTTCAGAAAACTATTGTGATTTTGACCTTTGGAATTAAGCACTCTATCTTCTCAAACCCAGAGTCTGCTTGAAAGGTGATCGTTCACAGCTTAGAGTTTTAAATAATGTACTGATAATATCAACCTTTGAATTTCCTGTGTCAGAGTATCTCCTGTATTTGTCTGTACCTGGCGTCAACTGAAACTGGCAAAATGAGATCAGTCATCCATGTTTAGCTGCTGCTTTAATCGATAGAGAGTAAATTATTTTCCCAAACCTGTGAAAGCCTTCCAGTGCTTAGAAATGCCAGGGGTCAGCTTCATTTTCTGTTTGGTTATTGTCTTGTTCTTTCAATATAATATATAGGACAAGCTCACTAGTTGCCCCCCTCTCCCTTTTTAGTACTAAAAACTTATGACCATTTTTAGTGATACCTAGAGCAGTTTTGTTTCTGGCCAGAACATGCTTATTATAGCTGCAATCTGTAGGAGAAAAAAAAAAATAAAAAAATTTAAAATTCATAGTGTAAAATGTGAGTATATCCAAAATATTTGCAGTTGTGATGTTTTGTTTCTTATGTAGTTAAACTAAACTGACTGAAAATAGGGATGATGCCCAAATTGTACAATTTATTGGAAGGCCATAACTTTCCTTTATCCATGTATTTTCTAAGCATAAAAAGTGCACAGTCCATAGATACAGGCTTCAATTAAAAACTGAAGTTTGGAGCTTTCAGAATCTTTTAGTACTTGTGGTGTAAGTGGGAGAAGACCTAAGTCTGTCAAGATCTTCTTTCTGTCCCTTTTCCCAAAACTCATGGTCCCCAGTTTGCTGCCTGATGTGCATGTTTTCTTTTAGACTGGCCTGTGCCCCTTGCTCAAAGACTGCAATCTTGCTGTGAAGTGTTTACCTTCAACACTAGCCTTCAGACCTTATCTGTCTCCCAGATCCTTGTGATCTTGCAAAAGCTCTTAAGTTGTGGTTGTCTATGTATTGACATGGATGTGGAGCTGCATGTTTCTTGATTTGATCACTGGCCAAGTAGAGCATGTGCTGGGTGAAAGGTGCTTCTACGGTGTGGCATTCTGATGTCTTCCCTCTTTTAAATTACCATGAGGTGGCTTTGGGTTAGCTGCCTAATGATTGTCTGTTGGAACAGAGGTATTACTTATCCCCCTTTCTTATCCCCCTTAACCACTTTGAAGTTCCTGAAAAGTTCCTGATAATGCAGTGATTCCTGAACCTTTTAAATGATTCATAAATTGAAGAAACTAAAGGTTGACTGCACACCTACATCACAGACATGCCTAAGTACCTTCTGTAGCAAAAATAGGAGTAGGTAATCATTCTCAAAGGGACAGTGCAAGTAACCAGGGAGGTGTACCTACATGGCAGATGTACCTTCTGCAGGAAATGTTTGTCTGGCTTCAGATTGACTGGATTTACCTTCAGCTGATCCTGCGTGGAAGCAGAGGTAGCTGCCTTGTTCTGAAGGAACACATTAAAACTTTATAGCTGCCAACCTGTCTCTGTGCAAAGAGAAGAAAAACGTAAGAGTCTTGTAAGGATCCTGGGTATTTAAGTGATATGTGATATTTCTTTGGGCCCTTGGTCAGAATGACAGCAAATCCTCCCTCCCTCTAATTGGTCTTATTCTAACAGAAATACTTGCTGCTTCTGTTAAAAACTGGATATCAATCACATCCTTCCAGATTTTCATTATCAGAATCTCAGCTTGAAATGGAGGGGAAAAAGTCTTCCAGTCCATGTGGATAAAGTAGCTTTGGAAGACATGTTCCATCATTCTCATCACAGTGTCTCAAGTGATGAAGTGTCTGCATAAGGCATCCGCTGCATGCCTCCAGTAATGTTCTCATCAGTACTCTGAATCTGAAAAAGTCATCTGTCCACCCCAAAAGGTCACCTGGTGGTGGTGGTGGTATATCCCTATCCATGAGATGCTCTGTTATAACCTAATTGCATAGAGTAATACAGCCATATTGTATGTTCATTTGTACTCTCAATTTTAGGATTTTTTTTTTTTTGAGATCAGCCCTGTATAATTTAAAGCTTTTTTTGTTTTGTTTTGTTTTAAGAGCACCAACTGTCTTCCCAAAGTAC